CCTTATGCATCATCTTTTGATACTTTCTTACTTCTCTCCTCCAGGCCTGACTTCTCCGAGGCTTCCTCCTCCCCCACAAGCGTGTGCACACTCACATGTGCTAATCCCACCCCGCCTCACACCTCTGAAGGACGCTGCTCCTCCCACCAGCCCCCACCGTCTTCCACAGGAAGGACACTGGAGCCCCTGGTGTTCTGCCACCTGCAAGCACTCCACACTCTCCCCAGGGCAGTGGGAGTTTGGGGCCCCAATCTCGTCACATTGCTCTATTTGCTGCGTGCAGGTTAAATTTGACCCTGAGCACCCACTGTCAAGAAGAAGAGGAAACTCCACATCTTTTATATGGGGAGGCCCCTACCCATCTCATACCTCCCCCAAGGTCACCCAAGAGCCCTGGAGGTCTGGGTGGCCCAGAACATCCAGAGAAAGCCCTCTTGTCTCAGTCAGCCCTGCCAGCAACCAGGCCAGAGTGGGGGCACTCTGGTGTCTGAGCCATAACTGGATCCAGGGGGCCTTGTGCACTGAGATTAGGAGCATGGGCTCAGGGGCAGCCTCCCACTGCGCCCCATGTCCTCTCTGAAGTCCTGCCACCCTTGGGCTGTCCAGATCCCCAGGGAAGCCCTCTTCTCTTCCTCCTTCACAATAAGATCTCATGTCTTCCCTTCTGTCTATGCAGCTGACTCCCCAGACTACAGGTCCCTTAAGGAGAGGGACCAGGTCCAGCCTCTCTACCCCTGTGCCAGGCATATAGTAGGTGCTCAATAAACAACTGCTGAATGATGCCCAATGACTACCTCCTTCCCAGCCAGCCATGTTTTCGTCCCCAGACAACACCCTCCCCATAACAGAGGAGTGTGTTTCCAGCAGCTCTCTGCTCATTGGCTAAAAGGGATTTTCCTTCAACCTAGAATCTCATGCTTGCCTCAGACCCACACACATAATCTCTATCCAGCTGCATTTCATTTTTTAACCTTGTTTCTCCCATCTTATTTTGAATCCGATCATCCTGAATAATTTCCTGGGTGGCCCAGTCACCCGTGCAGGATTACAAACCCAGTCAAGGGTCAGGCATTGCTCTGAAGCCTGTTGCTGATTCACCAGCACCGAGAAGCTGAGAATACAGTCACAGTGGCCACCCAGAAGCTCAGCCTCCTCTTGGGTTCCAGATTCCTTACTCCTGCCAACGCTGGCTCCAGCTGGGCTCATATATTCATAACAACAAGGGAGTCAGCCGGATCACTGGGTAGTAGGCAGAGTCCTAGCAGATGACCACAGCGTTCAGCCCATTCTGATAGCCCGTATGGACGTACCTCATGAAGCAGTTACTGGGAGGTTTCAAGTAAAAAAGACATGGAGAAGGAAGCTTCCTTTTGCCCAAATCATCCAACCTGTCTGACTGCATCGAGTCTGCCTGACACACATTCCAAGATCTGTCTGTAATGAAAGGGATCAGGTGTCTGTGGACCATTGCAGCTGGTGGAACATGGTTTTGGTACGGTGGTCACATGGTAGGCACACAGGGAGCACAGAGAGGGCCAGCCCAGCCTCCAGGAGCTCCCAGTGCAGTGAGAAAAATAAACACAGGCACAGGGGACCCCCCCAGCCAGCACAGCAGAGGCCGAATGCCATGAGAGAGGCACAGAGAGTGACCAGCACTGCCCTGTGAGGCACCAGGGAGGCTTTCTGCAACAGGAGGCTCTGGATTGGAGAAGAGTCTTCCCTGGCAGCGGCAGGGTTGGGGATGAGCTGAGAGCCTAACCCAGCCAAGAAGCAGGGACCCCAGGTGTCCAGGGACCAGTAAGGAAACAAATAATTTTGAGGGCTCCGCCGCCGACCACTCCACCGCCGACCACTGTGGGACAACCCCTGTGCTGCGTGGTTGTGGGCTGTGCTTCATTCTGGCCTCGGCACACGTGGGTCAGGGCCGAGGACAGGCGCCCAGGCCCAGCTGGAATAACGCCCAGCCGCATTGCGGCTCCACACAACAGCTGCTGGCCCTGGGCACCTCACAAGCCTCAGGGGGCCACATCTCCACTATGACATTATGGGGACCCCATCGCCAGCAGCCGCCTTCACAGATGGGGAAACTGAAGCCCAGGTCCCAGATGGCTAACAGAGCAGGATAGGCTGGCCAAAGCCTGCACCGGCCAAGGGGCAGTGCTCACCAGAGTCGGCTCCGACTGGGTACTCAGCGGAAGCCCGAGTGCCCAGCGCACGCCCAGTTCTGGGGCCCGGGGCGCGGGGGCAGACCGCCCCGGGGACAGCCGACCTCCACCAATACCCCCACGAGAAAGGGCCACTGCTGGCCCCCGTCGCACGGAGGAGAGCACCGAGGCCTAAAAGGGCTCAGAGTTTTGCCCCGCTGGAAAGTGGCAGAACCAGGAAGGGGACCCGGAAGCCGACCCAGGAGTCTACACCCGCGTGGAGGCTGAGAGAGACACTGGGTGGGCGTGGCTGGGAAGGGGCGTGGCGGGCAACGACCCTCATTGGATGCCGCTTTGCGCTCCTCTCGGGACCGCGCCCCTACCTCGCCCCGCCCCCGCCC